TTTACTACGAACAACACACACACACACACACACACACACACACACACAGATAATTAAATAATCTCTCGATATTTTCAAATACGTATAGAAACGTGAGTTTCACTTTTCATTCATGAATAAAATAGAATCAAGTATGGGCATTTAAGTGGGAACCAAATGGAAAACCGAGCGCTCATTCATTCGTTCGATGTAACTCCGTTTTTTAATTAAGTGATATAAATAAAAAATGAGCTTTAACTTTCGCTATCTTGTCTCTCTCTTTCCGTGTCGAACACGTCGAGTCACGTTCTTATTACTATTTCTACTCTGATTTTCCTTATTGTTCTTAAGTTAAATTGCATCTGGTTTCCAATTTTTTTTGATTGTTTATTATAAAATTACTCATAAAATCATGAGTTCGTGCTCGGGTTCGTGGGTTCGTTAAGCTCAAATGACTGCGCGAATCAGCCATCCGTGTGAGAGCTGCGATTCCTCAGGTGTGAAACTACCTGTACGAGCCATCTGTGTTTAACGAAGCGATCGTCTTGACGAAGTATCGTCGGTAAAGAAGAGAATAGCGCAGCTGCGATTTGCAATTGCAATAAAGTTTATGCGATTGCGCGACTACTTTGATTACCAAACGTTATCTACATCACCCCTCTGCTCGGGGTGACGGTTATTTAGGGGATGTAAGGCGGTCGACTTACCTTGCGTCGCCACTTCTGCGGCGCAAAAGAAAAGAAGAAAATTCACTATTAGTCTCTGGACGACTACTTTTATAACGTAGTCTTATACTTAATATTAAGTAATATTAAGTGAATTATTTTAATAAAATTTTCTTGCACACATCACTAATTACGATTGATTTTTATATTTTGTAACTACTTGATTTATTATTAAGCACGTACGTTCGATTCGTTAGATTTAATCAGCTTTATCTATCCAGTATTGCTGACAATGTAAAACTGAAAATCACCTATTTCTTCTAATTTATTCTTAAATGCCTCTCGAAAATTCTTTCTTATCACTCTAATATTAAAAAGTTAAGATTCATGTCTAAAGACTCATAAAAGATAGAATATTTTATACTATACTATAAAATTTTAGAGTGAATCATTTAAAGTTTTCATTTTCCAATTAGCACCGACTAATGAAGAATGAGAAAATTATGAAGATAAATTAAAGCAGATCACAAGTAAAAAAAGAAGAAATAAACAATCTCAAATATATAAATAATCGTTCCCTATAATTTAACCCTCTATAACTCAAATCTTTCTTCATGCTTGAAAAAAAGTTTATGTAACATGTAATTAGTAAATATTGATTTTGGAATATAAAGTGACAATTTTCAATTTTCAAATATTTTATAAAAATTATAAAAATCATAAAATTTTATTATAATTTTATATAAAAATTTATAAAAATTATATTATAATTATATAAAAAAATTAAAATAATGACTTCTTTTTTATCATAAAATCTTGAATACCAAAGAATAATACAACAGATAAAAATCTACGTTAAATGAAAAAAAAAAAAATGGAAAATATAGGATAACTTGAAAATATGACACATGAATATATGGCTTCAAATTACACGGTTATAAAGGGTTAAATCTGTATTTTCTACATAAATCTTCCTCTTTTCCGACTGGGCAGGCGCCACGGAGAGGGACAAACACTAGCCGTCTTTATACGATCGCGTAACTCGGTTACTCGGTTCGCGCCTCGGCACGGCTTTTTGCGATCGCTCGAAAAGAAACGTGCGGCGATCTCTCTCGCCGGCATAAATGCATGCCCGATGCGGCGGCGACACGGCAGCGCAGCGCGACCGATGAAAAGAAATATTCATGAGCGAGTACAAGAAGCCGCGTTCCGAGACTCGCGCGAGCGTTTCGAGATTTGCCGATATCATGCATGCTAAAGGATACGGACAATCGACGTCAATGGCAGCACATCTTCATTCGTCGTGCGCGTTCGTCAATAGCAACGAAGAAAATCTATGAAGAGGCACTTGTGTATCTTGATACGAATAAAATTTTACGTTTTCAAATGTAAACAGTTTAAAATTCTTCAACTTGATTGATTGAATTTCTCGCAACGGAAAGGCGACTACGGAAGCGAACGTGAGCGAATTGCGAGCGATCAAGACGCGAATACGAGTGCAAGACGACGGGGGTAGTGTCTAGATTGTAATGAAGCTAATTGTGTTGTTAAATAGTTAAATGCGTGCGAGATGTCTTTGTCCTTCTAGATTGAGCAGATTTCGTGCTGTTGCGGAGCACTCGACTGGTCTGCACGAGGCGATCCGGGCGACCGTCCTCGCTTTCGCTTTTCTTTGGCAATGCACGTGATTCCGTGCGAGCTGTATGCACATTCGTTACCGGTACCACGGCGTTACATCGAGATATATGAGCTCCAAAAATAGCGCGGGACACAACGCGCCGGCGAGATGTTGACCTATCGCGGTATGCGCGTTGCTTAATTAGAACGCACGTTAATAAGTCGCGCCGGCGACGCTCAAAAGTCGAGCCGTAACTTTACGAGATCGACGAAACGCTCATCGCCCGGCGAATCGCGATGTCTCGAGCCGCGATCAAAGGAACGGAAAGGGGAGAAGGGGAGCGGGAGACACTCTTCCAGAAGTCGTTAAAGCGGAAGCGCTCCGCGAGTAATAAATATGACGTTAAAAACGGGAAATCGTCAGAGTTCATCGACACTCTAATAGTTAACCTGTCAAGTTTTACGACACAGGCCACTGGCCGATGAGATACGAAGTGCAACGAACCGAGGGACGTTTTGCGCCGCTCGCGAGCGGGCCTCCGCGAGGGATTTCGCTTCGCCAGAGCGAGGCATCGACGCGTCTCGACGCGTCGACGCGACGACGCAAATTGGGCGGAAGAAAGGCTCGATTACAAAACGGCGCGTCGCTCTAATTCGGGATGACGCCTGAAAAGAGAGTCTCGATGCCGGCAGTTTAGTTCTACGAATTATCCACCCCTTTCCCATCCATAACTGGAAGAAAGGATTGTCAGAGTTGCCACGGAAAATGAATTCTGAAATTTCCTGACTTTTTCATGTTTTACGTGAAGAATTTTCCACTATCGATATTAATATTAAATTTTAACTTCAGAAGCAGAGACACGAGAGAGATAGCTTTTATTACTTTTATTAGATGCGATGCGACTTTAGAAGTTTAATAACTAATCTAATATAATCCTGAATGCAAATTTTAAGTTAACAAAAAATAAATAGAGTATTTAAATGCAGTTATGACAGAAAAGAGAGATTAAATAATAATAAAAATAGACTAGAAAAAATTAATAACTATTTTTTTAAAAACTAAAGAGACTAATTTAAAGGGTAATTAGTGAGCAAAGTGGAACATTTCAGACTTCTTTACATCTTTTCTCGACTTTTTCCAAGTTTTGCCTGGCCATTTTAAATTTCCATGACTTTCCCGAGTTTCCTTAGCAAATTTAAATTTTCATGACTTTTCCTGGTTTTCCAGATCCGTGGCAACCATGAAGGCATCCTTCTGTGTCACAACGAAAGTCATTTCAAAGCTGCCATATGCAGGCTCGTCGAAAGGGACAGCACTAAACGCATCTTTCAACGTTTCCCGTCTAAAGTGGCATTCCGCCCGTGTTGCGACATGGAATAATAATAGCGAGCCGATGAAAACGTTAAGGAAAAAGCTCGTTTCCCGAGTGTTCCGTTTCGCGGGTGGTGACCGAATAGTCATTTCCAACACGACGAAAGTACCGCCGCGCCCAGCAGAATCAACGTATTCCGTTAGTCCAACGGTACGCGCATGGGTACACAAATGCAAAATACTTTCAACATGACGCCACGCCATGTCGCGACAACATATCGATGTAGCTAATTTTATGACTAATATTTCCAGCCATTACCGTGCAAACGTTTTAAAATCATTATGTAAAAATAACGACTTTCGGAGGAAGTGTGAATTACTCGACTAATTTTTGAGAGACTCGATCATCTTCCCTTCGTCGAAGATCTAACTCACTTAACGTAAATATACTTAAAGCTGTTCCAGACCGCTTAAGGAAGCGTCAACAGTTTTCAGTTATCGCGAGTAGAGCTAAATTCTGCGAAAGTGTACTTCTCGAATGCGTATTTCATTTTCCATCGAGCTTCACGGCTGACTGACGCATCGCATAGTCAGATGGACACATTATGGACAGTAAATTGCGATGGGCGGTTTCCATCATGCTGACATTACGGACGCTTCATTTGCATTATACAAGCCGTACTATAGATACTAAATACCAGAAAATAAACCGGGAAGAGTGGAGATTATTCCAACGAGGGAGTAATAACTTATTAGCACATTAAAAAATTCAGGAAACATTAAAAATCAACCGTGTCTTAGCAAAAAATTGAATTTCAAACTCAGAAAAATATAAGACCTGGCCGGTTTCTGCTTTATACAGTCCAACAAAATTGAAATTCATAATTTAACTGTCAAAATACATAATACGAAAAACTAAAAGAATGAGACGTGTATGACAATGACGGTCCCTCTAATTCAATCTTCGTCGTCGGAAAGCGGACTCCGTTCGCGGTGGAAAAGGAGTACGCGACTTCCGGGGACTCCCTGAATACTAAACGAGCGTAAAACGCAGCGTGTATTTATGAGCGAGCGCGAGAAACGCATAAATTTATGGACACTGCGGCACTCGCGGCACGCTACTGGCGAATTCGACATAAACGCATGGGATTATTATTTCGTCCGTTCGACTCGAAAGGCGAACCACGCTCCTCCTTTCAGAATTCACTGTTATTGCGATCGTTAATTCGAGAGATCGCGCTTATCATCGCGGCTTTCATAAAATCATCCGCGCCACTTACCTGGAAGTGCAGGATGATGGTCCATATCAGGCCGAGAGTGAGCTTCGGGTTACCGTCCACGATATCCTCCGCCCGGATGTTGACCAGCTTGATCTTCTTGTATCGTAAAAAATCGAGTGCCATCTGCACATTCTGCAGCATGTGAAAGCGCATTCGTCCCTTCTCTCTCGGCTGAAAAATACGAATCGGTTCATCGTTAATTACGGTAGATCAAGGACAATTATCGTCGTCAATTGTCGAGTTTAACGCTCGATACCGTCTTTCCCGACTATCTCGAATTTACGAAGCACCCACGCAAAGAAAAAAAGAAAAAAAAAAAACAAGATAAAACTCGGCGGTAATTTAAATTTATTAAACCTTTTAAGAAGAAAATACGCGACTCTTGCTCGGATACTTAATTTCTCCTCGTCTTCAATAGTAATGAAATAATAATAAATTTAGATAGATCGCTTCGGGAGCTTCGCGAGAAGCGAGTACTCACAAGGCTCTCGCCGGAGAGCACTTCCAGCAAGGAGATGAGATTGTGGCCATCGCGTAGATCTTCGAACAAGTCCCCGACGTGTCTGCTCGCCTGCAACAAATTCCAAACGGGGCAAGTTAATTGCAGCTTTTCGCATCGAGACAAGCGGCATACACACACACACACACACTTGGCGATGTGGAAGAAAAAAAAAAGAACATCAAAATGACTAATGTAGGGGGGAAAAAAAAGACCAAAGAGCCAAGTAGGAAGACAAGGATGCGTAAGGATATATCGGCGAGGTACTCAAGCGATTAGCCACGAATAGAAAATGGAAAAGCCAGCAGGAATGTCGAGAGTTAACGCATAATGTAAATAGCGAAAGCGTGAAACGCGACGTCGAACGTGTGTGCGAGTACCTTCGGCAGAATCATAGCTGCTATTTGCGGCGTGACGTAATAAAAATACGCGACATATCCGCGGATTATACTAAAAGTCCTGCAGCTCCGACGTATATAACAGATCGCGGCGATTCCATTTGTACGAAAGGTAAATGCGACGGTGGTATGGACTTAAACGAGAACCATATAAAATCATCAGAGATGTTTGAAATGATTATTTCCGTTCGGCTTCAGACATCCGAATCCGATTACGCGCGCGAGTGTAAGCGCATGCAAATTTACAGACCGGTTTTTAAAAACACACACACATTAAGCCCGGCGCATTCTTTACCATATCGGTCGACCAATAGTCAACTCGAGCATGCACGTCATCTCGTGCAGGTGTTAGTCAGACAATGACGCGTTAATAACATAGAGGAGCACTCGTTATAAGAGGGACTCTTCCCGCGGGATCATCACAAGCACGTAAGCGTATCGCATTCTTTGCGCGCGTTTCCATACAAATTCCTTAAAAAAATTCGTGGTCCTCGAAAGCTTGGGGGGGGGGGGTGAGGATCTACGGTATAAACAAAACGATAAATCATGCATGTCGTCGCGGCTGATAACAAATGAGAACTATAAACTTACGGTAGGGGAACAGCATGGCTGATTGTTCACAAGGACGCACACGTGTAGGCACGTGTAAGTCTGAAAAAGACAGCAATGAGAACCGTCACCGTGGATTAGTAAAGGAATTAGTAAAGGAAAGCTTGCGTGGGCATGGGCGGATAATGATCTTTTTTCGCAACTCAAAGCTGATGATTTTTTAATTAAATAAAAAATTCCATTAACGTGATCACGTGGCGCGATCACACGCATATTAAAAAGAAACTTTCTTTTTTCGCGCTTTCGTTATTTTCATGCTAAATGTTAATTAGAAAATGTTTTCGTGATACAAAATACAAAGTCGACATGCTCTCCAAATTAATT